CAATCTAGGCTTACCACAACCTTCGCCTCCTGAGTTCAAGTGATTCTCATACCTCCTGCGTAGCTGAGATTACAGGCGCCTGCCACCATGCCCAGATAATTTTTGTATTTTTAGTAGAGATGGGGTTTCACCATGTTGGCCTAGTTGGTCTCGAACTCCTGACCTCAGGTGATCCACCCTCCTCAGCCTCCCAAAGTACAGGGATTACAAGTGTGAGCCACCGCCCCAGCTGAGCTGCACTTTTTAAACAATGTATCTTAAACTTTGATACATGTCAGTGCATAAAGAGCTTCTTTGTTTCTTTTTCTCACTCTGTAGCCCAGGCTGGAGAGCAATGACATGATCTCGGCTCACTGCAACTTCTTCCTCCTGGATTCAAGCGATTCTCCTGCCTCAGCCTCTGGAGTAGCTGGGATCATAGGTGCTCGCCACCGTGCCCAGTTAATTTTTGTATTTTTAGTAAAGATGGGTTTCACCATGGTGGCCAGGTTGGTCTCAAACTCCTGATCTCAGGTGATTCACCTGCCTTGGCCTCCCAATGTGTTGGGATTACAGGCGTGAGCCACGGCACCCAGCCTGTCTCCTTATCTTTAACATATGGACAATAAAAGCATCTCCTCACAGGGCTACAGGGAGGATTATAAGAGATAACTAATGGAAAGCTCTTGGCACAGTGCCTGGCAGAGAGTGGTGTAGGTTCCTCAAAGAATAGTCCCATGCACCCACTGAATCAATGAGTGAGTGGAAAAAATGACTTGAGGTTGCCTGTTTATTTACTGAGCGCCTACCATGTGTCCTGTACAGCGATAAGCACAGCACTGTTAATGCAGAGAAGCCACCGCAGCGCGCCCTAGCGTTCTTAACACAGACTGCAAGGAATCAGGGAAGGTTTTCTGCAATGTGAATTTTGACGGAGAAGGGCTTGTAGGGGTGAACATGGCTTGTAGGGGTGAACATGGTACCCGTCAGTAGCGACGAGGGTATTCCGGACGGTCAGGAGGTTCGTGCTCCACAGCTGTGTGGGAGTGGGCGGTCAGCATCCCATGGCGCGCAGGGAAGGCAGGCAGCTCGGTTGGGTAGAAGAAGCTCTGGAATCCATGCTAAGCTTCAGTCCTCTATGCCGCATGACTTTGGCCAAGTTACTGAATGTCTCTCTACTTCCCCGACTGTAGAGAGTCTGTTAAGAATACTCACATGCCGGGGAGGAGGTGGGGAAACGGGGAGGGGCAGGTGTCGCTGGAGGGAAGGAGCGAAACGGAGAGCATCGTTCAGAGAGAGGTGACAGTGGCAAAACGGCAGACCGATTCTCCCGCTTCTACGAGGATCAACACTTCTCGGGTAATCACTTTGATCAATATGAGGAAGGACACTTGGAAACTGAACAAGCATCACTTGACAAACCTATAGAATCGAAATTTCCAAGGAAACTATATTTCTTATATTGATGGAAATGTATGGAAAGCATACAGTTGGACCGAGAAACTAATTCTCAATGAAAATTATTTGACTGAATTACATAAGGATTCATTTGAAGGCCTGCTATCCCTCCAGTATTTAGATTTATCCTGCAATAAAATACAGTCTATTGAAAGACACACATTTGAACCACTACCATTTTTACAGTTTATAAATCTTGGTTGCAATTTACTCACAGAACTGACCTTTGGAACATTTCAGGCCTGGCACGGAATGCAGTTTTTACACAAGTGAGACCTGGGTATTTCCCAAAGGAATAGTACTTTATGGAGTCTGATGGTGATTTATTAGCATTCTCAATCGCAATCCTCTAACAACTGTTGAAGATCCATATTTGTTTAAATTGCCAGCATTAAAATATCTAGACATGGGAACAACACAAGTCTCACTTACAACGGTTAAGAACATCCTCCTGATGACTCTTGAATTGAAAAAACTGATCTTACCTAGCCATATGGACTGCTGCCTCTGCCAATTTAAAAATTTAAAAATAGCATTGAGGTTGTCTGCAAGACGGTCAAGCTGCATTGCAACAGTGCATGGCTGACAAACACCATATATTGTCTTGAAGAAGCATCTATAGGGAATCCCGAAGGAGCGTTCATGAAGGTGTTACAAGCCTGGAAGAAGCACACGCGCACTGAGCTGACTATTGAGCCGGAGACGCCCTCAGACAGCAACGGCACCAACCTGTCAGGCTTTGGGAGTGCGCAGCTAGACCTCAATGATGAAAGTGATGTTATCTGTGCACTAAGAAGATGTGGAATCAATGTTGTTACCGTTCATTAAACTGCATTTTTCAGATTCACAAGATGGTGACAGGCCCCTGGGTATTTTGAAAAGCAATACAAAGAGCCCCTCTCTTCAACCTGCATCCAACAACTCAACTTACGAAAATAAATTGAGAAAGCTGTATTTTCTGGAAAATGTGTTAGATGCAGAAATTCAAGAAAAAAATCAATGAGGTTAAAAGGGAAGAAAAAACTGCCATGCTTGTACAGTCCAGCCTTTTTGGTCCCAATTTTTAAAAATTACTTTATTCTTTTTTATTTGTTAGAGGCGGGATCTCACTATGTTGCCCAGGCTGGAGTGCAGTGGTGATTCACAGGCGCAATCCCACTACTGATCAGCACGGGAGTTTTGACCTGCTCCGTTTCCGATCTGGGCTGGTTCACCCCTCCTTAGGCAACCTGGTGGTCCCCCGCTCCCGGGACGTCACCATATTGATGCCGAACTTAGTGTGGACACCCGATCGGCATAGTGCACTACAGCCTAGAACTCCTGGGCTCAAGCGATCCTCCCACCTCAGCCTCCCGGGTAGCTGGGACTACAGGCACTCGCCATTGCGCCTGGCTTAGGTCCCAAATATAAACGGATCAAATTTTTCAGACAAAATGAGAAACTGCCCAACCACAGGAAAACAACGTGGCAAAGATTCAAAGTGTAGGCAAAAGCCTGCAGAGAGCAAACAGAGTCCTCATGGGCCCAAGGAGCATCCAGAAAAGGCACTTCAAAGAGGGGGGAAAGCAGAGCATCTGGAGGGAACAGAGTGCCCAGGCATTTGTGGAAAACACTGCCAAAGGAAAAAGGCCTGGGAGTGCAGCCCCAAGCCAGCTGGAACAGCCTCACGTGGTGCAGAGGCCTGAGAAGTTAGTGCGAGAAGTTAGTCTACACCAAGCCTTCGTTCACCCAAGAGCTAAGACAGCGGTCTCCTCTTTGCTGATACCCTTCTCCATGGGCGAGCCTTCCGCCTCCACCCCTGCAAAAGCCCTACCAGAGGTCAGAAACACATCGAAAGACTTAACCCACACCATTTTGTTTTCAGAAAATGCAAAGGCTAGAGTTAAAAATATGAAGGCTGCTAAACCATTCATACATTCCAGAAAAAAATACCACTGCTTTCATAAAACTCGCTCCCATGTGGTCCACAGAACACCCAAGGCCAAAAAGAGTCGAAAGTTCAGAAAGAAAAGTTCTCTTAACAGGCTGATGCTCGCGAAGAGGCCTCCATTTTCTGCAGTGAAGAGCCTCATAAATTCCCCTTCAAAAGGGGCTTTTTCATATTTAGGAGACGAGTCCTTTTCCAGAAACATTTGCTCCTTCAGAACATTCTATAGAAAACACTAATGTTAAAAACACCACTGCAGGAAACGCCTTTGAAGGAAACATTTTTATGGGAAAGACTGCAATGCCAGAAGGCACCATCTCTGAAAACACAATCTACAATAATTCTCCTGAGGCAGATTCTGCTGGGACTGCATTCAACTTAGAGCCAACTGTTAAACAAACCAAGGAAACACAATGGGAATACAACAACGTGGGCACTGACCTGCTCCCTAAGCCCCAAAACTTCAATTACCCATTGCTCTCCTCCCCAGGTGATCAGATTGAAATTCAGCCCCTCATCCTCATTTGTCGTGTTATCCGGAGCTTGAAGGTGGACTGCTCTGAGACCCGTGTGCAATTAGCCTGTGCTAAGCTCATCTCCAGGACAGGCCTCCTGATGAAGCTTCTCAGTGAACAGCAAGAAGTAAAGGTGTCCAAGGCAGAATGGGATACGGACCAGTGGAAAACTGAGAACTATATCAATGAGAGCACAGAAGCCCAGAGTGAACAGAAAGTGCAGAAGTCAAGTGAGCTCACTTAGGAAGCTGCAGGATATGGCTATAACAACAAACTCATCTTGGCAATATCTGCAACTTTATAGTGGACAATAATTTTCTGTCAATAAATTGAGATTTATTCTCACAGAAGGGCATCAAAGGAAGATGAAGAAGGATCCTCAAGGGGCATTTCCAGATTTCTGCCACACAGGAGTTACTCATTGCAAAGTGGCTTTTTCTCATTAAGATGGCCGCTCTGGCTTAGGGATACGTACAGACCTCTCAGTGCCACACGCGTGAAAAACATGGCACAAAAGCTGCATGACAAGGAGTCTTTCAATGAGGACGAGATCTTCAACAGGGACACTGGGGACAGCGAAGCCCCAACAGAGAAGACCCCAGCCGGAGAGTCTGCTGCTGAGGGGGAAAAGAGTGTGGCCCTGCCATAGGAGAACACTGAGTGACCCCAGCCCACCTCAGGCCTCCAGCAAAATACTTATTTTTCTATTATCAAAGAATATAACTAATGCTAGCCATGCAGTATGACATTTAAATGTGTAGTTAA